CCCCCGGGTGCCTGGAAGGTCTTTTCTGAGCACTCCCCCAGGCGTTTCGGCCTCCTGAGCCAGAGTTTGTGGGCTGGGACAGGTACACGCCGGGACACAGGGCTGCTGGGGTGGCGACACAAGTGTGGGAAGACACAGACCTTTTGGTCCCCTTACACGCTGTTCAGGCTCTCAGCTTCTGTTTCTCAGTGTCGCTTCCTCCCTGTCCCTGTCTTCTCCGGTTTCCCATCTTCTTTATTTGTTCCATCTTTAAGATCTCTCTCTGGTGGTTCTTGGCTTTGTTTATGGTACTGGGGATGAACCCAGGGCCTTCACGCTTTACATCCCCATTCCTTTTTATTTTTTATTTTGAGATGGGGTCTCAATCAATTGCAGTTGCCCAGGCTGGGGCCTGAACTTGCAAACCTCCTGTCTCAGCCTACTAGAGTGCTGGGGTTAGGGTGACAGCTACCACGCCTGGCTTCTAGCGCTTCTGACCTAGCAGCTGAAGTGGCAGGGGGCTCTCGGAGGATTCCGTTGAGAGGGTGGTCGCAGACTTGGTGTGGTGGGGACTCGGGGACCCAGCAGAGCTGTGCTAGTGGATGGAATGGGGCGATCACTAAGCAGCAACCACCCTTCCACCCAAACGACACTCCCCACCCTGCTCCTGCTCCCCAGCCTTGACAAAAGGGGGAGTCCCGGTGGGCAGGGATCACAGCCACTGACCCACCTGCGCCAGCCCCCAGCCGGACTCGAGTCCGCTCCAGATCCGTCCCAGGTTTTTCCTCCGCGTCGCTGGGGTCTCCGCCCCTCGGAGTCGCCGCGGGAGCCACCCGTGTCCCCAAACTCCAGGCGCCCGGGGCCCGCGTCTACTTGGAAGTCCAAGTCTGACCCGACGGCGACCCTGACCCCCGCAGACCGTCCTCGCCGCCTCCCAGCACCGGTGGGCTCTCAGCATCCTGGCTCCTTCTCGGCGAGGTAGGAGGACCCTGGAGCCGGGGCGGGGGGAGGGCTGGCGCGTTGCTGCGTGGCAGAATGGGGCCAGCAGAAGCCACCGTCGTCCCCTCCACCAAGGGACAGTACGGCCGGGAGCGGCCGGGTGACCCAGATAACCAGGCGCAGACGTAGCCTCAGGTGCTCAGAGGCGCTTTGGGTTCATCCCACCCAACCCCCTTCCGACCCAGGGTCCCAGGTCCGGGGACCCTGCCAAGTACACAGCTTTCTTGGGAATCTGCCTCACCGCGGCTTCACTTGAAGCCCTCACTCTGAGAACAAGGCGAGAAAAACCCTCATCCAGGAAGACCCCCAGGTGAGCCCCCTTCTCTCTGATGTGGCCTTCGGGACAGCCCCCCTTGCTGGTCGGCTTCCTGGCCCCCTTCCAGCTCTCCCCGCTTCATCTTGTCTCCCTTGCCTCAGTTTCTGGGTCTTCTCTTCCAGCTCTTTTCTAACTCTACTTGCCCTGGGCCCACCGCCTCCCTGCAGGCTCAGGCTCCACAGCAAGAAAGGGGTGTGTCAGCTGCCTTCTATTTTGGGGGACTCTCCTCCTGGGGAGGGGGTGCACTGGGATTCTTTGAGCATCAGCCAGCAGGGAGTCCCGAAGTGTCCTCTCTGCGATTCCAGATCGGGTACCTCCTCTGGCCTTCCTCTCCCAGCCCTCTGGCCCACATATGCTATCCCTTTATCTCCTTTCTGCCTCAGTTCCTGTCCTTTTTGCTCTGTCTTTGGGGCTTTTGTGTAGCTGCTTTCTTTGTGTTCCCCTGGTGGTATTTCTCCTCCATCTCCTCCCTCCCCTCCCTCCTCAAGTCCCGCCAAGCCAGCAGCCTGAAGGGCCTTGCGTTTCAGGTGTGTTGGGTGCGTTGGGGATGGGATGGGGTAGGTGCACACCCAGCTTGCTCGTCTATGACTTTCCAATCACTCTTCCTCAGAGTGGTTATTCCTATGTATGAGATGAAAAGAATGGCCCCAGGGACGTAGGAATGGGATAGGAGGACAGGTTCTGCTTCCTGGAGCCTGGTCCAGAACTTGCCTGAACTACATCTCCCGCAGTGTGCTGGGGGGCCAGGGCTGCCTCTCCCTCTGCCTGGACACTTTATGGGAGTTGGTTCCAGGGCACCAGGTTGGCAGGGGTACCGCGTGGGAAGTGATCAGAGTGTAGAGCAAGGTTTTTTTTCTTCCTGGTATTGGAGACTGAACCTGGAGCCTTCACAACCCACAGGCCTGGCTTGTCCTGGAACCCCAGACCTACCTTGCTGCCAGCACTCACCTCCTCCAGAGATCAGGAGACCTTGGAACCTCTGTTTATGTCCCCCAAGGAAACAAGAGTAGCAGTGCCTGGAAAGGAAAGAGGAGGGATGAATTGGAAAGTTCCTTCTTCCCTGACCCTGGGAACCCCCAGCCCCACTGCCACTCTTCCTCAGACTCCAAACAACCTCATGAACACCCTTATCAGAAATGCCCTTTAGAGATAGTCTCCTCATCCTCAAGGTAAAGGAGGGGAGCTGGAGCCTAACGCCCTGAGCTAGTTTTCCAGGTTCCAGGTACAGGATACTCAGTCTTTGCTCCACAGGGAGTCACACTGAGCTACCAGCTTGTGTTTCCTCGGGACCCATGAACAAGGAGGGCAGGGGCCCAGGACAAGCCAAAGCCGGCTCAGCTCGTCTGCAAACAAGGGAGCCAGGAGCCCTCCGTTCATCCAGGGAACCCAGCGTCCTCAGGGCCTGCACAAGGGGTCTGGCCCTGGGGCTCGTTTGTGTGAAGGTGCTGGGGTTACTGGCACTGCCGGCAGGATGAAGAGGGGACCCCCCCCCCTACTCCTGCAAAGGACCCAAGTGGTTCCTGTCCTCTATCAAAGCTGGGTTTAAAGACCCAGGCACACCTAAAATGTCTCTTTCTCTGGTTTAAGAGCCAGTGACAGTTAATTTTTAGGCTGACTCTGCCCAAGCAAGTCTGCTTGAACCAGACTTTTAACATCTTTGAGGTTTAATTTCTGCACTGCCAAAAGAACAGGTTAAACCTCATGGTCTTTAATGGCCCCAAGAGGGGCTCTAACATCCTCCACACCTGCTTCCCTCTTCCCTCTGACTGTGTTGGCCTGTGTTGTTTAACCTCTCCTGTTCATCGGGGAGCACTTTAGGCACTGGAATTGGATTAGGGTTCGGAAAGAAAAATGGGAGACGGAGCTCTTAGTTTGGAGCTGTGTGTGTGTAGCAAGCATGCTGTTTTTTACTTAAATTGTGTTTGTGGCATAGAAGCTTACAACTGTGCCCTCAGCATCCCTTTGTGCCACAGCAGGTCCTCTTCCCCAAACCTAGGTCATGTGTTTTATTAAAAAAAAAATCCAGCCAAGCCAATATCACTTCCTACAGAGTAGCTGGTCTATGTTCCCAGGAATGTTGGTTAATGAGGCTTTAATGCAGATTATGTAAAGGCAGCATTGTGATTGGCTGAGAGAGAGGAAGGGGGATCTGATTGGTTGATTTGGTTGATCTGAAGCCTGGAATTGGGAGTCATCAGGACTTGAGCAGGGGCTTTCTCCTTGGCTCTGTCACTAGGCAGGGAAAATAGAAAAGCTGGCAGTCAAGGAGGTGTCAGACCCTTTGAGGAATGGGAAGGACAAAGCAACCTCTGAGTAGGAGATGGTGCCATGTTTACAGGAACCGATTTAAGAAGAATAGAGCCAGGTATGGTAGTGCACACCTGTAATCTCAGCACTTGGAAGGCTGAGGTAGGAGGACTGCTGTGAGTTCGAGGCCAACCTGGGCTACAAAGTGAGTTCAAGGCCAGCCTGAACTGCATAGCAAGACCCTGTCTTGAACAAATAAGAAGCAAAAGAAGAAGGAGATGAAGGAGAAGGAGAAGAAAGAAGAAGAGAACAGACGGAAAAGGAGAGAGACCTCATCTCTGCAGAATTAAATGGAGAGGGGGCACGTGTGATCATGGTGGACATTTTTGTCCACTGGATTAGCAATGGCCTTTCCCAAATTACCACCTAAACTGGATGTGGTGCAAACCTATACTCGAAGCACTCTGGGAGGCTGAGACATGACAATCCCAAGTTTGACCCTGCCTGGGCAAAGTAACAGTTCAGTGAGACCCCATTTCAAAAAATTTTAAAAAGCAGCTGGGAATGTAGCTCAGTGCAAAGGCCTTAGGTTCAATTCCCAGTACAGAAAGGAAAGGAAAAAAAAAATCACCACCTTGCACTGGAGTGGAGCCAAAGTCACAATGGAAAGAGGGAATAGAGCTAGGTCGGAGAAAAGAAAGGGGGGGTTTTGATTGGCGGAAGAGGAGCTTGCCGGAGCTAGGCGGAGCTGTCCATGGTTCGCTCCCTTTTGCTTCTGTTTGCACCTACGCCCTCCTCCTTTTGCTCTGGGCATACTTCAGGACAGAACTCTGGGAAGGTTGGGTCCTCTGGCTTTCTCTGGGGTCATGGTGCAGTCCTGCTTTGTCTTCACAGAGGTTCTGAACAAGGGGTGGGTCCCTGGAAGTGACGCGCCTCCATTTCTTACCCCTCCAATAGTCGTCTTCTTTTGCTCAACTCCCGGGGAACTGGCTGGCATGAAAGCAACCTGGAGTTAGCCTCTGGGGTGCTTGCTATGTTTTGGTTTCTGTTTTCACACTGAACGTTACCCTCAGACCTTTTAAAAATGATTCATTTTGAGACAGGGTCTCATTCAGTCATTAAATTGCCCAGGGTGGGATTGAACTTGAATCCTCCTGCCTCAGCCTCCCAGACTGCTGGGATTACAGGTGTACAGCACATGCCTGGGCTCACACTGGCGATTCCTGAGTTTGTGACTGTTGAGAACACTGTGGCAGGGCTGGAGGAGATAGAGTTGTGATTTCTGGGAACTGGGGGGAGGAGGGAAGGTGCTGGGAAATCGGCATTACCAGGGTCAGTAGGGGGAGCAGAAAAGAAAGGACGTTGGTGTAGGAAGGGGTTATTGGGACTGTCATGTGGGGACCCAGACATGAAAATAGGGGCCTCTGATCATGGACTAGGTTCTCTTTTCCACAGGGTGATGAAGCTAGAAGCCAGTGGTGCAACAGCCACCTTAGAGGTCCCTAAGACGACTGCTCCAGATGTGGACCCAGTTCTGAAACCCAACCATGGAAGACAGGGGCCAAGTCCAGGTCTGGCTCTGGGCTTCAGGATGAGGCAAGGGAGCTGAGCCAGGACTTGCGGTCAAGGCTGAGTCCTTGGGTATGGAGCTCAGGTCAGATGGAGACCTGAAGCAGAGATGGAGCCATTGGACTTCGTGGCAGCCATGGAACTGGAGTTTGAGGAGGTGCTGGCCATCTTGAGCATGTCTACGATGGCCTTGACTACTTCTGAGCTGACACCGCAGCGGGCTCTGGGATCCCGACCACACTGCGGCGCTGGCCAAGTGTGATGGAGGAGTCGTGAGAGCTGAGGAGAAAGGTCCAAGTGAAAAGGGACGAATCGGGGTCTGGGGATTTAGCCGCGCCTGCCTGGCAAGCACAAGGTCGTGAGTTCGATTCCTGGTACTGGAGGAAAACAAAGGGGGGGGGACGAATCTAGATTGGATGCCCAGATATTAGGAAGGAGAGGGGATGAACTTCTCCCCATGCCTCACTGGATTGCTGAGGAAATACAGCCCGCCATGGTACCAATGGGTAGGCTGTGGGATCCAGGAGGTGTGTCCCCGAGGGTGGGATGGGACCATGAAGACTCTCAAACAGTAAGTGGGGCACGGATGGCTGAAATCGTAGCACTGTGGGAGGCTGATGCAGGATTGTAAGTTCAAGCCCAGCCTGGGTAACTTAGTGACTCAAACTCTGTTTAAAAAAAAAAAAGAAGGCCCCGGGTTCAGTCCCTCATCGTCTCCTGCTGCCATTCTCCCAAGCCTACAAACAGCAGAGAAACAGCTGGGGTTTTTCTGGGGTGGGTGACAGCTTTGCAGTTTAAGGATCCATTTGAGAGTTTCTAGGGACTGGACCACGAAACCTGAAACCAGGGAGCAGTCAGAGGGGGACCAGGCCCCACCTCCCCCGCAGACAGAGCGCAGAACATGGGCCTAGAAGCTGAAGACCAGCTGAGCTAGGCTGGGCGAGTAGCTAAGAGGTAAGGGGGTGCGGCAGGAGCTAGGGAACTTGGCATTACCGTGGGGGTGAAGCCAAGGAGAGAGGGCGTGGAGAGCAGACAGGGACCAGGTGCCAGAGGAACTGGCACATCTTAACAGGTGGAAGAGGCCCAAGTGGAAAGATTTCTGCCGGCTCTGCCATCCGAGACCCAAGTGCCCCGGCGGCAGCAGAAGTAGGGTGAGCGCCCCCTAACGGCGGCGGTCTGCAAAAGGCGCCCGAGCCGGTGGATGCCACTGACACCAAAGAGCTAGCTCAACCAGGGTGTGGCCGCGGTCCTCTAGTCGCAGCTGGTCAGGCGACAGCACCCGGGAGTCAAGGTGGCACAGCTTACCTGAGGCGACCAGCTGGACCCCCAGGAGCTAAAGAAGCATCACTTAATCACCAGGCAGGTAAGGATAAAGGATGGCCTGTCTCTGCTGGGACATAAAGGCGTCCATCCCAGCCCAGAGCATTTGTACCTTTTTCAGTACTGAAGCTGCACTCCCAGTCCTTCCCTCCACTGTTTAGACAGGGTTTCGTTATTGAATTGCCTGAGCTGGGCTCGAACTTGTGATCCTCCCGCCTCAGCCTCCCGGAGTGCCGGAAATACAGGTATGCGCTACTGTGCCAGGAATTGCTTCTTTTTCTCTGGGTTTTACTGAGTGGAGCTGCCTGTGAGCCTTTGACCTTACCCAGACCCTTTTGCTAGAGAAAATCAACTCATGTCTGACTTCAAATCCTTAGTCCTGGGGCCGGGGATATAGCTCAGTGGCACAAGCGCCTACCTGGCAAGTGCAAGGTCCTGAGTTTGACTTCCGGTACCAAAAAACAAAACAAAACAAAAAACCCCCCAAAACCTCTTAGTCCTAACTTCCAGACTTCCATGCGCCTGCCGTGCCTACATCCATCCAGCTGCTCTTCAAGCACACAAACATTCTAAGTCGAGCCTCTGTCCTCGCTCTCCATCTGCCCCACCCAACCTACTGACCTGCTTCCTTCCATTCATCTCCTGGGAGACCCAGAGATGCGTGTGCCCATCTCCTGGGGATGAAGGTATGGGGAGCCCCATCCCTCCTACCCTGGGGGACCCAGGCTCTCTCACACCCTACTCCCCCGCAGTCCCTCCCGGTCCTCCTGAGGGCCCTGGGAGGGAAGTAGAGTGAAGACATGGGGAGGGGGGTTACTAGGCTGGCCCATGCTCACTCATGCCCCCCCACAGGTGGCACCATAGCCGCCTCTGATGTCGCCCTCCAGGCAGTGCCGGGTGCTTCCCACTGGGATCACCTTTCAGGACCGGCTGTGCTCTGGCCAGGGACAGCGACCTGCGCCTAATGGCGGCCAAGGGCCTGGACACCGAGGGCACCCACTCATGCTGGGTTCGGCCCTCCTCCCGGTCTGCACCGCAGCCACAGCAATGGTGCCACCTCAACATGGCCGCTGCAGTGCCAAGTTCCGCGCTTCGCCAGCCTCAGCGTCATGTGCCAGCTCTCCCTGGCACCCCAGCTGTGGCCACAGCTGGCTCATTTCTGCCAGGCTGGCCTGGGGCTTGAACTGGTCAAGGGTTCTACTAAACATCTGGGGCTTCTCCCCCCAGTGCAGAGGGAAGACGCTCTTTTGATTCACACCCTTCCACACGTATCCCACACCTGCCACTTCCGAGTCGCACCCCCACTCCCTGAGGTCCCCCCTAACTCCTACCCTTACCGGGTGTCCATTCCCACCTTCCCTTTTCTCTTTACCTCTGTCTCCTATCTTGTCTCTAGCATTCCCAAATATCTTTGCCTAAATCCAGACCTGAACTGCTGTTTTTTCTTCTAGGTGGGGCCATGGGGTATTGAACCCAGGACTTCCCTACTGAGCTATACTGTCCCATCCCTTTTTTATGTATTTTTTTCTTTTGAGACAGGATCTTGCTAAATTGCCCAGAGTTTGCTCTAACTTGCTATCGTCCTGCTTCAGCCTCCTGGAGTGATGAGATTACAGGCTCACACTATCACATCTGGCTGTGAACCGCTGGATTAGAGGGATCCCCTTGCACTGCTATTTATTATCCAACTTCTCCCCTTCCAAGAACTGGTCCCTTCCCGTGGGCGGACCTGGCCTGGGAGTGAGCTCCGCCCTCCCTGGCTTCTCCCTTCTGCCCCCTCGTGGGTGAAAGCGGGTAGAAGTCTGTCCGGGCCCATCTGTTGCTCCTCTTCCCCGACCCTTTCTAAAACTTCACAGCCGCCATCACTCCCCTCCTCCCTGCCCCCCTCAGCCTTCTGTGCCCCTAGATCAGGGCCATCTCCCTGATTCTGTCCCCCACCCCCTCCTCCCTGGACCTCCCGCACTCTTAGCTCTTTTCCTGCCCTTCCGTTTCCCTTCTCAGCCTCCACACAGGCCCAGCGTGCAGTACGGAAAGAGACCTGTAAATGAAATACCGAAAACGTCCCCCTATTTGGTCTCTGTTTACCTCTGCAGTACTTTCCTGAGCCTGCCCCTCCGACTTTGCCGGACATCGCATCCCTCCCCTCAGACCCAGCTCACCTGCGGTTCTGGCTGGAAGCTTTGGTGCCGGCGAGGTCAGGCTCGCGGCCTGGAATGAGGCTGTCTGTCTCCTGGTTCCACCGGATGCCCTCTAGGGGACTGGAACATTCCTGGTATTTCCGGACACTTCTCCCAAACTCTGGATCGCATATGATTTTTGGACTTTGAGAGCCTGCTATTTAAATACAGATAGTAACTGCTGCATTTGAAGAGCCCTGTCTCCTAGACTGGAGCCCCACAGCAACGTCAGAGGGAAGAAACACGCTCAGTGACTTGTAAGTCACTCTCAGGCACTGGGAGGCTGGCAGGGGTTAGAACGCAGGCATGCCAAGCCCAGAGCATGCCCAGAAGCTCTCTCCCTGTGGTGCTGTTAGCTCCAACTTCTTGTTGGACAATGGACAGTTGCTAGGGAAATGTTGACCATAGCAACAGGGTTCGCTGGGCATGGAATCCAAGATGTGGGCAGAGGAGGGCGCCAGGAAGGTGGGAGAAAGGTGGGCAAAAGGGACAGTTTCTCCCCTTCATCACTTTCCCCAGCTCCGACTTTGGGGCCACCTCCCTGGTCATTTCCTCCATGGCCGTCTCACAATAAAAGGGACCTTTTGCCTGCGCTCTGTGTGCGGTTCACTTCTTCTCAGTGGGAAGGGATGAGACACATTCTCTCCCGGCTTCCTCGGCAGCCTGTATTAGAGAGGATCTCCAAGCCCTGTGGCAATGGGGCTAATGACTTCCTGGAGGGGGGTGGGGAGGGCTGCTGGCCGTTGGGCGCCCCCACCTCCACCGAACGAAGGAAAGAAGCGGCCGCTCAGAAGCGAGGCGCGCAGCAGCGCGGCGTCCACCCATCCGCGGGCCTCGCTTTCCCCCGGACCTGGGAGTCAGAGCCTACCCAAATTCTATGGGTTCGCCTCCCAACTTCACCCTGGCATCCAGGGCCAGCTTCCGTCTGCCCCAGGACTCAAGGGTCTAACTCGCTTTCTAGTAGCTCTTGCTTCTCCCATTTCTGGGTGGGCAAAGCGGGGCGAGGGGGAAAGAAGGAGGTGGAAGGAGCCCCGGCGCCACCCCCGCGGGAACCGAGCTCAGAAGCGGCGGAGACTGCGATTCCCAAAAGTAACGCAAGAGGGCGCCAGGACGAGCGCGGCCGCCGGAGAGGCAGCGAAAGGTGGTTCCGTCCGTGTGAGTGTGTCCATGGGCGTCTTTGTGTGTGTGCGTTTCTGTACATGTGTTGCATGAGTCTTGGTGGGATCCATCCGGGACAACATGCCTGGTGTGCCCCAGGAACAGGTACCCCCAAATGGCTTTTGGATGGAGATGATGCTTGATCTGTAACTATGTACGCGTGGCTGAGAAGGCAGAAGACCTGTGTGTATTGTCGCGTGTGTACGGTGCAGACTGGGAGTCCCTGAAACCGCGTCTTGGATTTTTGAAGTCGCAATCCTAGAAGGTTTTGATCCCTTTCCCATCACCCCTTAAGAGTAAGGAGGACTCTCAGCCAGATGATTCCCATTGCCCTACCACATCCTCAGCATAAGTCTGGGTGACTGTGCTACTCTAGGTGTGACATTGTGTTTGTTAAGTGGGTGTGTCTCAGGATCTTAGTGCAACTCTGTATGGTAGTGCCGTGTGTATGTGTGTTTGTGTGTGTGTGTGTGTGTGTGTGTGTGAGACAGGTGGGTTTTGGAAGGGGCTGGATCAGGATTTTGGAAGTGCACAATTTCTTTTTCCTTCTTAGACTGTGGATACCCCTTCATGGTGTGTGTGTGTGTGTGTGTGTGTGTGTGTGAGTAAGTGTGTGTGTGCATGCATGTTCCTTTCTCAGTCTCTCCAGGAGCTGTCTCTCTGTGTCTCTCCCCATCTCTGTCTCTTTCCTTTTCTGGGTGACTCATCTCTGCGGTGATGCCCTCCCTTGGCTTGCTGTGTCTCCCCTCCCCCATTCAGGAGTTGGGGGGTCTGAGAGAACGGGACCCTGGGGCTAAAATCGGAGTGAGCACTCCTTTCTCATCATTCATCATTCAGGACCCTCCAGTGCCCCCCAACCCTTTCCCAGGACACCCCATCCCTGGCTGGCTAGGGGACAGGGCAATAATGTGTTCTTAATGGAGCTATTTTCAGGGGGTCTTCAGTACCTGCTTTCAGCTCAAGTGGAGACCCCTGCCCCTCTCATAAATTGCCCCCTCCCTGCCTGTCCCCACCGTGGCTGACGCAATGAAAGGCTGCAGAGGTGAGTCACCGGTTGGGGGAGGGGTGGCAAAGAAGGGGACGGTGAGCTCTGTGTGTGCCTTTGTAGGGGGGTGGTCCAAGCCCTTTCGTTCCCTTCGAGACCTTCTTAGGGAAAAGACTCAATGCTCTGCCCCATTCTCCCTTGGTTTTCCAAACCTTCATCTTGAATCACGACTCTGCTAGATCTCATCTTCTGCTACCCTCCTGGAGAGTATGGGAGACTCAGAAGCAAAGATGAAGAAAGATGGGTTCATATCAATAGCTCAAAGCAAACACCAAGCATCCCCATTAGGTCCCCATTTGAGCTCTATCCCTTCCAGCTGTCTCTATCTCTCTTTCATGCCATTTCCCTCCTCTCCCCAATCGCAGGAACCTGTCCCCAGTCCAGATATTTTCTAGAAGCTCCTAGAGGCAGCAAGGTATAAAGGGAACAGCTCACCCCTGGGAGATGGAGGTACCGGTGAAGAGCTGACAGAGGTAGGACATTGGGACAGACGGAGGCAGGAACAGACCCAGAGTAGAGACCACGTAGAAAAGAGGGGTCAAGATTGAGATTATAGAGCCATAGAGTCCACAGCCTTTGGTGCCCACCTTCCCCACCCCTACCTTCACTGCCTAACACTTCCCCACCCTCTACCATCCCATGGTGGCTGAAGCTCTTGGGATGAGGATGTCTAAGGATCTCCTTTGGGCTTCCCAGTAAACTGGGGTGAGGGGGGGATGGAGGAATGGGGAGTGCTCTGAAAACCAGGGACAAGGACCCAGAACTTGGAGCCTGCAGGTGAGTAGCTTGGATTGTGAAGCTGTACTGCACAGGGCTGGAAATGAAGGTGGATGGGGGAGGGGCAAGAAAGATCAAGGCATATGGCAGTGTACATAACCACCAACATATTCCGGTAGGCACAGGACTCAGAGAAATGCATGAAGACTTGCATGAACACACATGCATGTTATTGTGCACCACCAAGCCAGGCGCACGTTTTCCAATGCCAGCAGATGCCCAGAAGTGAGTGCATTCAAAAGACGACAAATTGTACAGGTATACAGGCACTTGGAAGAGATCAGAACCCACACAGACTCCTGGTAGTAGGCAAAGACAAGCACACAGAGAAGATCTCATTTAAACTGGAAACACCACCAAGCCCATCTACTTTCAATTTGATTAAATATATAATTGACTCCCCCAAGCCTTTCGTTTTCCTTCCCCACTATGAGTCTCTGAAATCTCTGTACACAGGCAAACACACATGTACATGCACGCACAGTGGCCAGTGCATACACACAGCCCCACAGGTATGTAGTTTCTCCAGGAGCCTGTCTTCCCTTCTGTCTTGGACTTGGACCCTTGTCCTATCATCTGGCCCCACGGTTCCCTCCCTCCCGCTCCTCTCCATTCCTTCTGGGATGGCTTCCCCTCCCCCTCTCCAGATGTTCGAGCCTTCTTTCCATTCACCCTCCTCAGGAGACCCCTCCCCATCCCACTGCTCCCCATAACCTGGATGACAAGAGGAAGGAGAGATGAGGGGGGAAGGGGAGCCCAGAGGAGCAGAGTAGGCCCCCGTGTAGTCGTCTGTGTGTGTGTGTGTGTCTGGGGGGTGTGAGGCATTGCCTTGGGAGTCCCTTGGCCCCTCTTCTTCCTCCTTTGGAATCGTCACTGTCCCCTTGCTTCTCACCTTTTTTCTCCTGTAGCCTGCCCCTTTCACCTGCTCCAGGTTCCTTCCTCCTTCCGCTACCCCCATCCTTTTTCCCTTTCCTCTCTGCTCTCCTCCCCACCTCTTTCCCCGCAGAGCTGATGGGCTTTCTTCTGGGAAAGTCAAGCCACTGATGGAAGCGAGAAGCTACTGCTGGCTGTAGAGGGAAAGCACGTGAGCGTGTGTGCGGTGGGGGGGGTTGGAATGAGGGTCATAAACAGGAAGAGATGAGGAGGGGGCTAGGCCTGGCTCTGGAAGAGGCTCTGAGTCCCTGCAGACAGCCTCAGTCCTGCCTTCCAGAGTCTCAGGGTGCGGGTGCCCTGCGTGTGCCCATGAGCACCCGTGTCCGCAGTTCTTGTGTCTGGCGTGTGTCATTGTCACTCCCCCCTTTCCCTGCCCACGCCCCCGCACTGCTCTCTGCCTGCACCGCAGCCCCCTCCAGCCTTCCTCCCTCCCCTTCATTCCTGCAGTGGCCGCTCCCCTGGCCACCTTCCCTTCTCCCCTATCCCCTCCCCATTTCCGTCCTCCCCCCAACCCCCGCCCACGCCTGGTCTCCCTTCACCGGACCCGGCTCGCTTATGGATTCTCTCTGCGCAATCTGTGCGTCATCGCCCCCCACTCCCGGAACCTCTAGCTATTCAAGCCCCCAGCCCCAACCCCTCTTGCAGGAGATACGGTCGAAGGGTCGGGTGGCAGAGACTGTCTCTCTCTGACGTTGCAGCGCCCCCTCCACACCGCATTCCAGCCCCTTTAAGCGGTGGAGAGAGCTGGAGTTGAATCACTCCCCCCACCTGCGCAACCCCCTCCCCACCTGGTCTGGTCTCGCCCTCCAAACGTCCTTGGGTAGGGGGAGCAGCGGCAAGGAAAGAAGCTGGAGGAGGGTGGGAAGAGGTGGACTGAAAAGGGACACCGCGGGGGTCCCCCCACATGCACAGCCGAATCAGCCGGACAGAAAGACAGACACACCTTTTTCTCCAGACACGAACGGTCGTGAACAGACACGACCCAGAGGCACACACATCCTCTATCTATCCCTTTTCTCTTCCGACTCGGACCCTTTCCAGTGTGACTGTCAAAACCGCAAGATCCACCCATCTCCGGGGCCCTGGGCCGGCACCCCACACCGCAGATCCGCGGACAGCGCCCTCCTTCTCAGGTTCACGCCGTCCTTGGGCGTGTCTCCATAGGCCGTGCGGTCTCGGTTAAGGAGCCTGGCCCCATCCAGATTGCAAATCCTTATTGTCCCCCTCCCCAGTATTGGTCTCCAACTGAGTCCATTCAGACGCTGGGGGTACCCTCTGCCTATTCCATTCAGCAGCGCGAGCTCTGCAGCAGCAAGTTGCTTTGTAACCCACCCTCCCGCCTTCTAACGCCGCTGCGGCCACCCTTCCATTCATTCTTCCATTCATTCATTCATCCTTTTCTCCTCGTCTCTCCTTCATTCATTCATAGCCCCCTACCCCCGCCCGCCTCGGCATTTCATTCATTCATTCATTCATTCATTTCCCGGAGCTCCGCTAGCGCACGCCCCTCCAGCCGAGGGCTCCAGTGCGCAGGCGCAGACCGGGAAGAGCGCGCATCCTCCAATCGCTGGGCATCCTCCCTCCATCGGGCGCCCGCCCGCTTCCCCATGAATGAACATTGACGTCAATGGGGCGGGGCGAGCCCACGTGACCCCTCGCGCTCTCCTTTATAAGACAGCGGAGACGCGGGCGCTGTCCAGCGTGCTGGAGCCGGAGCTAGCGAGCCGCCCGGAGCTGTGCCGATCCAGCTAAGCCCAGACCACTGGACACCAGGTTTCCACCGTCGCTCGAGCTCCAGCTAGCGCTCGGATCCAAGGCAGCCGTGTCCTGATCTTCCCCTGTCCCTATTCTGCTCCGATCTTCTTCTTCACCTCCGGCGTCGTGACACCGGCTGGTAAATACTCCGCTGTCCGTCCCTCAAGCCCTTGGCAGCCTTGGGCTTAAGGGAGGGTTCTCTTTCCTCCCAGATAGGGGTGTTGAAAACACAGCGGGGACCCCCTGGTAAGGGTCCCTGGTAAATGGGGGAGTCGCAGCTTTTTTCTTGCTGATGAAGTCGCCCACGCACCATCCGGGGAGTCCTGCGGGGAGGGAGCAAAGATTTTTTTTTTTTTTACTTATCCTTGCTGCTTAGTACGTGGGCGCTGGCAGTGAGGTGGCTCAGGGAAGTGGGTGAGGAGGCATCAGGTGAGCGAGGGTTGCGGGGGTTCTTTTCCCATTTACACGGCACATCCAGAGATCGGCACATCTTCCTCCTTCGCTCCTAAACGCCCCTTCTTCTGGGTAAGGTTAGGGGGATGAGGAAAGCCCTGGGTTTCCTGCTTAAAGATGGGGGAAGGGAATGTAAAATTAGCGGGGAATTCTTACAGAAATCCCTTTTCTTTGGTTTCTTCTATTTTTCAGTCTGCAGCAGCCCATTGGTCATGAAATCCCTCAGATTGCCGGCTTCCACTCTCTTCTGCTGCCTTCTACTGATCAAGGGGTTAGGAGCAGCGCCCCCGGGGCGCCCCGAGGCACAGCCTCCTCCCCTCAGCTCTGAGCATAAAGAGCCGTTGGTAGCTGAGGACGCAGTGCCCGGGCCAAAGGATGACATGGTCCCAGAAGTCCGAGCCGCTCGAAATTCCGAGCCGCAGGATGAGGGAGAGCTTTTCCAGGGCGTGGATCCCCGGGCGCTGGCCGCGGTGCTGCTGCAGGCACTGGACCGTCCGGCCTCGCCCCCGGCGCCAGGTGGCTCCCCGCAGGGGCCAGCGGAAGATGCAGCAGAAGCTCTCCTGACCGAGACCGTGCGCAGCCAGACGCACAGCCTCCCGGCGCCAGAGACCCAGGCGCCCGCTGCCCCGCCTCGCTCCCAGACTCAAGAGAACAGTCCCGAGGCGGGCGACCCCAATGAGGAGCTCGAGGCGCTAGCGTCCCTGCTCCAGGAACTTCGAGATTTCAGTCCTAGCAGCGCCAAGCGCCAGCAAGAGACGGCGGCGGCAGAGACCGAAACCCGCACTCATACGCTGACCCGCGTCAACCTGGAGAGCCCCGGGCCCGAACGTGTGTGGCGCGCCTCCTGGGGAGAGTTCCAGGCGCGCGTCCCGGAGCGCGCGCCTCTGCCGCCCCCGGCCCCCTCGCAATTCCAAGCGCGTGTGTCTGAGAGTGGGCCCCTTCCCGAAACCCGCCAGTTTGGGGAAGGAGTGTCCTCCCCGAAAACACACCTGGGCGAGGCTCTGGCACCCTTATCCAAGGTGTACACAGGCCTGGGTGCCCCCTTCCCTAAGGCGCGCCGGCCGGAGAGCGCACTGCTGGGCGGCTCCGAGGCGGGTGAGCGCTTACTCCAGCAAGGGCTAGCGCAGGTGGAGGCCGGGCGGCGGCAGGCGGAGGCCACGCGGCAGGCAGCCGCGCAGGAGGAGCGGCTGGCCGACCTCGCCTCCGACCTGCTGCTCCAGTATTTGCTGCAGGGCGGAGCCCGGCCGCGCGGCCTGGGGGGTCGGGGGCTGCAGGAGACGCAGGAGCGAGGGAGCGAGCGGGAGGAGGAGGCGGAGCAGGAGAGACGCGGCGGGGAGGAGAGGTTGGGGGACGAGGAGGAGGACGAAGAGGCAGCGGAGGCGGAGGCAGAGGCGGAGGAGGCGGAGAGGGCGCGGCAGAACGCGCTGCTGTTCGCCGAAGAAGAGGAGGACGGGGAAGCCGGAGCCGAGGACAAGCGCTCCCAGGAGGAGACGCCAGGCCACCGACGGAAAGAGGCAGAGGGCGCAGAGGAGGGCGGGGAGGAGGAGGATGACGACGAGGATATAGACCCGCAGACCATTGACAGCCTCATCGAGCTGTCCACCAAACTCCACCTGCCAGCGGACGATGTGGTCAGCATCATCGAGGAGGTGGAGGAGAAGCGGAAGCGGAAGAAGAACGCCCCTCCCGAGCCCGTGCCAGTCCCCCGGGCCGCCCCCGCCCCCGCCCATGTCCGCTCGCCGCAGCCCCCGCCCCCCGCCCCTGCCCACGACGAGCTGCCGGACTGGAACGAGGTGCTCCCGCCCTGGGATCGGGAGGAGGACGAGGTGTTCGCCCCCGGGCCCTACCACCCTTTTCCCAACTACATTCGGCCGCGGACACTGCAGCCGCCTGCGGCCTCGCGTCGCCGCCACTACCACCACGCCCTGCCGCCTTCGCGCCACTATCCCGACCCGGAGGCCGCCGCGCGGCGCGCGCAGGAGGCAGCAGAGGCGGAGGAGCGCCGGCTGCAGGAGGAAGAGGAGCTGGAGAATTACATCGAGCACGTGCTGCTCCGGCGCCCGTGACCCGCCCCGGCTCCGCCCCCGCGCGCCCCCGCCGCGCGCCACCTCGCCCCCCTCCGTGTCGCTCCTCCCCCTCTCGGTGTTTGCATGCGCTCCTGCCCCGCCCCTCTGCCGCCGCCCGGTTCCGCCCCCGCCGCCCTGTCCCCGGGCTGAGTAGGGACCTGCCAAATCTCTTCTCTGGTCGGAAGCCCGAACTGTCAAAAAATTCACGGGCGACCCGGGGGCAGCCATGGCTGGCAAGTGGTTTGTGTGAGATCCCTTTCCCCGCGGGGATCCGTCCCCTCTAGTCTGTCTGGGGACGTCCCAGTCCGAACTGGAAAAAGCAGTTCCAATTAATTGTGTAAAAAAAAAGTGTGTCTGTCTCCCGCCCTGCCCTCGGGGCTCCCCGCCCTCTCCAGTTCGCTGTGAATTTACCCCTTCTTTCCTTTCTCTATTGTAAATACCCCTCACGGAGGAAATAGTTTTGCTAAGAAATAAAAGTGACTATTTTATTAGGACTTTTTTCTCCGTTATTCACCCGTCCCCTTGGGCCTGTGTGGTCCTCCCCAAGGGGCGGTGAAGAAAGCGCCAGCTGCGATGCCCATCGCCTGCCCCTTAACTCCTTACCAAAGCCAGAGCTGAGTGGCTGAATGCGGAAACCATATTTTGGAGGGAATGTTTCATCAGTTCCATCTGGGGGGCGAGCTTGGGTCTCCCTCCCCAGGACTCGGAAGAGAAAAGTGGAATGTAATAGAGCCCAACAGGCTTCTACTTCAAAAGAAAAAGCCAGCCCAACAGCTGCTCTGGACACTGGGGCAGCTTTTCTTTCCCAGGTCTGGGTGGTTCCCCCAGAACCCCTCTTCCCCTCACCTATCCACTCCCTTACCAACTCCCAGAACTCCTCCTACACACCTCACTAGAAATTCAGGGACAAGGGTTCGGCAGCCACCTGTTTTTAGCTATCTCTCAAGCTTTTTTTGAGCATAGACACCCTTGAATTCCTGATTCCATCCCCAAATAAAACACAACTCGGAAAATGAAATCTTCCACAAGGAAACTTTAGAGGAATGGACCAGCGGCCCTAGGAGCTGCTGCTCATGGGGTAAAGGCAGCGACTGGAGAAGCGTGGAGATGCAAGGGTGTATGAGGTAAGAGTGCCGGATAAGAACAGGACACCCAAGTGAATTCCAATACATGGGCGTGCGTCTGTTAGAATAAGTGTGTTCCCCAACACTGCATGGAACACACTTCTAAAAACTCCTTTGCTGCCTGACATTCCAGTTTAACTGGGCATCTATTTTGTTTTCTTTCCTCTGTTGGGCAACCTCATTCATTTCCAGGAAGAGGCCAATGGGCAGTGAGCTCTGGGCCTCCCTGAAGATGCTGGCGGTCCTGCCTTCCTTCACAGAGCCTGAGGCGAGCCAGGTCCAAGAAACACTTTCCTTTTATTTCAGAAGAAAGGAAATAAAGGCAGACATTTGGGCCACCCTGCCCCTTAGCTCCTGCCTCACCCAAGACGTGGGGTAAAGGAGGGACAGGACCAGTGCCTCAGAAAGCCTGCCCTTCCCCCAACCCATCCCTCAAAGTGGCAAGGTTAGAAAAAAATTAACTATGTTGTTTCTGCCCTGGCACTGGACAGAGGCCACACTGCAGCCAAGGAGGAAGTGGGACGATGAGGGAAAAGGCCCCCCCCAGGCAATGAAGCTGCCCTGGCTGGCTAGGGGGAGGGGAAGAGGTAGGTTTGGGGGCGGGGAGCAGGGGGGGGAGAAGAGCCCTGAAAACCTTTTCCCTTTAACCTGACATATTTATATATTTACAGTGGTAAGGGAGGGAGGATGCCTGGGGTCACATTGGTTCTTCAAAGGCAGGGAATAAAAGCCAAATAGCACCCCCGTCTTGGTCATGTTTTTCTGCCTCTTGGTTCCTAAAGCTTTTGGTGGGAAAGGTGGGGGTGGAAGGAGGGAATGTCTGCAGGGCCAGAGCCCACGGCTCCTTCTAAAGAAGGTGAGGTGGCCAAGGAGGGGGATCCAGGTCGGGTCCCACGGAGGGACCCAGGAGAAGCAGCCACCACGCCCTGCCTCGCTCCCGGCTCCGCAGGGCCCAGCTGGCGGGGGCTATGCCAGGCCCATCTCCTCCAGCACGCTGCGCGGCGACTCATCCTCCTGAGGCAGAGACGGCAAGGGTGACGCAGAGACACCAGGAGGGGCAGACAGGGTGGGCAGCACAACAGCAGTCACGAGGGAGGAAGGAGTCGAGGGGGAAGCAGACACATGAGGTAGGGGAGAGAAAGCAACGTGAGTCCAAGGCTTAGTGGCTTCGGGCCCTGCTGGGCTGTCTGCGGGCACCACCCCAGTGCCCAGGATGGCAACGAGAGTCCAGGCTGAGTCGCTCACCACCACCCAGAGAACCCAAAGCCAGGAGCTGGGGGCACAGGGGGATCAGCCCCAGGACCTGAGGGTAAAGGCAGGAAACTCGCTTTTAGGGGGCTGCGGGTACGGATGGTTGGGTCCTGATTTTCAGGTAAGCAGGAGGCAGTAAAGAGTCCCTGAGGGAAAAGTGAACCAGACTGCAGAGAGATGAGTCATTAGGGTCTGATCAGAGCACTAGTAACCAGGTGGGGGTGTGGGCCAGGGCACGTGAGGGGGGGAGAAAGAGAAAGAGAGAGACAGAGAGAGAGAGAGTGTGTGTGTGTGTGTGTGTGTGTGTGTGTGTGTGTGTCAGAGACAGAGAAAGGGGACAGTGGACCACTGGGGTGCAAGTTCAGGTCTCTACCTTCTTGTCCTGCAGGCATGAGCCCCCCTCCCCCAGCCCTCCCCTCTCCCCCTCCTCAGAGCCAGCTCAGCCTGGCTTGCTCATCACTGTCACTGCAGATTCCGGTGACTCATCTTCCTGCACCAAGGCTCACAGTGGCACAGCAGAGAGAGGGCAGGCAGGAATGGGGTGAGGGTGGGGCACTGGATCACAGTGAGAACCGACACCAGGTGCCCCCACCCTGGTCCCCGGTCCCCACAGCCTTTTGCTCCTGAGAAGTGGAGGCTTCTGAGTGTGTGTTGTAAAAAGTGAAGAAGTCAGAGAAGGAAAGATTGATCTACCACGTGTCCCTTCTCTAGTTCTCTCAGCAGCACTTTAGGCCAAGAGAAGCATTAAGGGATCCAAGGAGATTTGGCAGGGACAAGACAGCTTGGGTCTTGGGAGGAGGACAGAGCTTGGAAGGAGGGGACAATTGCCACAGGTGGGTGATGGCCCTGCTACCTCCTACTCCATGGCCAGCTGGGCATGGGGGGGCCAGACACCACGGGGAGGGGGACCCCCTCGGCCGTGGGCAAGGTGTCTAGGAGAGGAGGGTCCCTTCAGTCACCACACTCCTCCTCCTGCTCCTCCTCCTCATCATCCCTGGCTCGTACCTCTTGAAGCAGGTCAGCCTGCTCGATAGCCTTCAGAACACTCTTCTTGGAGGTGTCCTGGACATCCCCTCCCATTAAAAACTCATCCAGGATGAAGTAGGCCTTCTCAAAGTTGAAGATGATGTCCAGCTCACACACCTGTGAAGAGAAGAAGGTAAGGTTTAGCACTGGGGTGCACCTGTGGCCTCTCACTTCCCCCAGGACCACTCCTCCCACTCTGGGTTCCTGTTGAGTCTCACGTTCTCACATGCTCCCGATCCCCAGGCCTTAGTGTTTGGGTTGGCTTTTTCTTACCTTCCTCTTGCCTCTCGCTCCCTGAGCATGTAATATGAGTTACTTTTATCCACCCTTGTCTGTGATTTTTGTTATCTTCCCTCCTAAAATCTGTGACACTGTTCCCACCAGGGACTGCACTAGGCTTCCTCCCTATCCCTGGGGCAGGGAAGGGCATCTGGTTGCTTGGGTAGAAAGCTGGAGTCCCAAGCAAGGCTCTGCCAATAGCCAGGTGGCAATACATATCACAGAATGTCTCTGAGCCTGTTTCTCATCTGAAAATGGAAGGGGCCAGGGATATAGCTCAGTGGCACAAGTGCCTGCCTGACAAGCGCAAGGTCCTGAGTTCAATTCCCAGTACCATTAAAAAAAAAGGAGGCAGATCCTCTACAAGGAAAATGAACCCAGCACCTCTGACCTAGGAGGAAGTCTGCTGTGGTTCATCTGAAAATGGACATACCAGCACCTATTTACAGGATGGGATAAGGAGCAAACAAAAGAGCCTGAAAGGGTTTTGGGTAAATTGTTAAGTAAGATACAAATTATGGAGTCATCAGAATTCCCCATCGAAGATCTAAGCGGTCTGCCCAAGCCCAGGTCCTAGGCCCCAATCTGGATACGTTAACTCAGAATCTCTGAGGTTAGGACTCCAGTTTTTTTGTTTGTTTGTTTTTGAGACAGAGACTTGTTTTGTAGTCCAGGCTGATCTTTAACCCGCAAGTTTCCTACAGCCTGGGCTGGGCTAAAACTTGTAATCTTTCTGCCTCAGCCTCCCAGAGTGCTGGGATTGCAGGTGTGCGCCACCATTCCCCATTTTCCAGGCATTATTCTTTTTAAAAAAACTCTCCAGAAGAGTCCAATAAAAATCCAAGATCAAGAACCACCGGCCAAACCCAAATCTGGTCTCCATCCTCATTTGAAAAGTCTGAGCTGAGCTCTACTGGAGATTAAATACCAGAATCTGCCCTTTCTCCCCAACCCCAAGGCTGATTAAAGAACATGGCTAATAGGATTAAAGCTTAAAAAGGGAGATTAATTACTGTTCTCATTGCTCCAACTTCACTTCTCCCCAAGACTTCCTCCCTAAACTGGATGGGCATCAAAGTTTAGCAGAAAAAGAAGATTGCTGGGTACAGGGTGAGTGGGCAGACTTACACTGCCAAAGTATTTGTCCAGAAGCTCCACATATCGGTGGATCAGCTCCAAAGTGATGAGCTCGTTGTCTTGGCCCTCGATGGCGCAGCAGAAGTAGAGGCTGGCATATCTGAGGAGGGGGCACAGGAGACATAGCCAGGGGCTGGTCCCCAGGACTCAGGCATTCTGGCCTCAAATGTCTCCAGTCCCAGGTCTGTAACCTGACTGGACACAAGGAGAGGGGCTCCAGGGTATGGAAAGAGTGACACACTGCCTCTTAGTGCTCTCTCTGAAATAAGCAAAGACTCATGCTCCTTTCCCCTTGGCCCCTGACCTGTGCAGTTTGACTCAGCAAAAACCTGAGCCAAACAACTCACCTGTTCAGAGAAGGAACCAGCAAAGGGGTGTGTGGGTGCGGGTGTGTGGGAAGCGTGGGGCAGAGCCTCTGATTGGTGAATGAGCCTGCAAGGGACATGGGCAAAGGGTAAGGCAGAGCCTATAGAGACAGAGGTATGTGTGTGAAGCAAGTATCAGGCTTGAGCAAAACCAAGTGGGGAATAAGAATTTCTTCCAGGGGGTTGGAAAAGTAAAGAAAGGTGGCGTGCATCACTGTCCTGCATGTGTCCTCAGCTTTTAGCTCTTCCTGACCTGGGAGACACTTATTTTCCCAGTCTTTTTAACCCACTGCTGAATTCCAGCCCAGCAGAACCCAAGCAGGTCTGAAAGTAAGTAGGGAGTCACCTCTTATAAACAACTTTGAGGTCCCTCCACTCCAGAAAGCTGCACATCTTGGGCTTGCGAGCCAGAACGACCTGCATAAGCTCCCGAACCATCTTCTTCCGCTCCTTGTCTGATGTGGCCAGGTACCATTTTTGCAGCCGCAGCTTTCCCTGCCGGCTGAACAGCAGCATGAATCGCATCTGGAGGGGAAGGAGGACCATAGCCAAGAGTCACAGATTTGGTTCTTTCTTCCATAATGCACAGCTTCAAGCTCAGCACCAGCCTTCTCTACACACAGTTCCGACTTTCTTCAAAACATCCAGCCCCTTGCTGGATGCTCCCACCAACAGGTACCTTTCCTTCAGAGGTGCAAGAGTTTTTGTGCATCATTTTGGTTCAAAACCTGGAACTATTAGTTAGGTGTGACCTTGGGCAAACTACACCTCGGAGCCTGTTTCCTTATCTGCAAGTGGAGATGATGAAAGCACCTTCTTCATGGCGCTTTCAATCAAATAAGGTGATATTTGCATGAATGCCTGGAATATAGTAGCTTCTAGAGCATATTTAGTATATGACTCTTCCCTGACATTCTCTTTCCTGTTTTCAAAAGGAAGTAAAACACCTAGCGCAGTGACAAGTGGTACACAGCTGATGTCAGAAATGTTTGTTCTCTTTTATGTTATTTCTGTCCACCTCCACACTGGAGCTGGGTGTTTTGTCAGGCTACCCTCCTGGCCATAAGCCCTCACTGATGGCCCCCGCACACTGCCTCCAGTGCCCACTTTGCCCAGGGTATCCTTCTCTGCAGATGTACACATATCCAACACCACACTTGGTTTTGGGGATGTTCAAATTCTACCCACTTCTTTCCTCAGCCATCTCAGCAGTTCGTCCCTAGAGTATTCTTTGAACTTTTCTTCCTTTTAGGGTGCTTCTTGCTAAGATCCAGGTGCCCAATCTCCCTTTCAGGCCCTCCCTAGGACATGGCCAGCCATGGGGGGCTCCCCTAGGGAATGTCTGTGAAACAAGAAGCAAGCAGGGTGGAGTGAGATGGGGTGCAGAGCTCTAACTACTCTCTGGACCCCAGCTTCCCAATTCCAGGGAGCCTGGGGCCACATCGGGGACCCATCTCCTCCCAGCAGCTCTCCTCGTGGACATTACCAGGGCTGGAATCTCCAGTGCAACAGTACCAGATTCGCTGGTTAAAAATCAGAATTGTGGCGAACTGGTGGCTTTTGTTTTTTTGTTTGTTTTTTGGTGGTGGAAAATGAGGCGCCTGAGACAAGGGAGCAGAGTGCGGCTGAGATAAGGGGGTGGGGAGCCAGCAGGAAGGCGGAAGGCCTGGGTTCCGGAAAGAATGGGATGAGAGGCGGAGATCAAAGAGCACGGGAGCGAGGGAGCCCAAAGCCTGGGACCCCGCGAGCAAACCCTCTAGCCCTCTCCGCCTCCACACCTAAGCCCGCACTCTGGGCGAGCGCGGCCGGGAGCCGCGGCAGAACGTTCGCTCCCAGACCCGGAAACTGTCCTCTCCCACGCCCTGACCCCCAAGGCCCCCCTGCTCTGGGCCAAGCGGAGACAGGGCTGGGTGACCCGCGACCCCACTGCCCTGCTCTGCCCAGAGACCCCACGCCCCTCTCCTCGGGCGGCTGCTCTGCGGAGGAGGTCGGGGTCCCTCGAGCGAGACCCGGGCGCCTCTCTCGGCTCGGGACGGTCCCGCCGCCCTCTGGTCGTCTCCTCTTGCCCCACAAATGCGCCTCCTCCCCGGCCCCCTCCCGTGTGCCATTTCAGCTCTTCCTCCGCGGCCGGCTCGCCCACCGGCTCAGGGGAGAGGGGTCGCAGAGGACCAGAGTGGAGAAAGAGCGGCTCCCACCGAGGGCGGCCCCCAAGCACCCCCGCAGGTGCAGCCCACGCCCCTCAGTTCCCCCTCCCCTCCCTCTTCTCACTGCCTACCATCCTGCAGCCTCCGGCTCGGCACGTCCCTCTTCAGCCACCGTAGACACCAGCTCCACTCCCTTTCTTTTCCTTTTTCTTCCCTCCCTCCCGGCTGAAGCCCCGCCCCGTCCCGCCGGACTGGGAGACCCAACGCGCTGAGCTCTGCGCAGGCGCCAACGCTGCAGGGTGCGCGGGCGGGGCTGGAGGCGGAGAAGCGGCAGCCATAGCAACCAGGTCCTTGACTTCAGCTTTGAGAAGCTCGGTCGTCATGGTAACGAGGCTGTCTTGTGGGTTAGTTGGAGGATGGGGGAAGAGGATAATAAGGTCCTCGAGCTTTGGAACCTTGGGGAAAAAGGCGGGAAAAGGGGTAAGAGGTAGATGGGACAATTGTAGGGAGTTTGTGAGGAAGCAAGGAAGACTAAAGGAAGGGAAGTAGACAGTTGAGAGGGAGCAGGGTAAGAATTAGATGTAGGAGAGGAGGAATGATTTGGGAAGTAGGAAGACAAAAGGAAGAGATGGGGCAGTGTGAGAAGAGTATAGAGTTTAAGTCATTATTGAGAACCTCCTAGACACAACATTCTTAAAATAAGATAAAAGTGCAGGGCCAGGCATGGTGGTGCATGCCTGTAATCCCAGGACTCGGGAGGCTGAGGCAGGAGGACTGCTGCGAGTTTGAGGCCAGCCTGGGCTGTATAGTGAGTTCAGGAACAGAGCCAGCCTGAACTACAAAGTGAGGCCCTGTCTCTAAAGAGAGAGAGAAGTGGGGGGTGGGGGGGAAGAAGTGCAGGAAAAAAGAGATGAGAAATAAATAAGGAGGGGCTGATATAAAAGGCTGTAAGGAAAAGGGAAGAATCGTGAATTAAGGTGAAAGGGAGAAAAAGAAAATTTTGAAAGATTAGCAAGGATCAAAACTAAAAAGGAACAGATGGAAACTAGACCTAAGGGCAAAGATGAAGAGCATGAGGAGCTTTTAGCCAAATGTGCGCATGCAAGCATGTGCGTCTATTCAGGAAAGCAAAGGGGCACAGACTTAAGAGACAAATCTTGCATTTCGTGATGCTAAAAAGCCATAGTACTTTCCCTCAGGGGGTTATGTGCCAAGACCCCAGTGGATTCTTTTTTATTTATTTATTTATTTATTTAAAAGAGTATAAGAAGGATAACATGGTAATAGGGGGATTTACCGAATTACAGACAAAGCGGTAGGACAATATCAATGGTTGTTATTTTACCTACTGGTATCTTCAAGATAGTTTCTCAGGAAAACAAACAGACAAATAATAGTGACTTACAGACAAAAATGTAGGAAATTATCAATGGTCGTTGTACTATACACTGGTTTCTTCAAAGTGGTTTCTAGGGAAAACAAATAGAGCTATACATGAGTGATCAATTGAATAATCATTGACTATTCTCAGTAGTTGTTGTTGAAAACACATAGTAATAAACATACTTCCATTTATGAAATAGCATAGGAAAAATAGAAACATTACAGAGTTATGGACAGATTGGTAGGAAATTATCAATGGCTGCTGTAATACATGTTGGTATCTTCAAAGTGGTTTCTCAGGCAAACAAAGATATGCAAGAAAGATCTAACTAGTAGTTACAGCCTAAGGGTTGTGAAAAGTAGCGGATTATCTCCTCCCAGTGGATCCTTGAAACCCCACACAGTACCAAACTATCCATGCTCCGTGTTTTCCCACACATACACACATGTCTATGATAAAGTTTAACTTATAAATTAGGTATAGGAAGAGAGAGATTAGCAACAATAATTAACAATAAAATAGAGCAATTATAACAATATGCTGTAGCTGGGCATGGTGCCACATGCCTGTAATCCCAGCACTCAGGAGACTGAGTCAAGAGGATTGCTGTGAGTTTGGGGCCAGCCTGGGCTACATAGTGAGTTCAAGGTCACCCGAACTACAAAGTGGGACCCTGTTAGAAAAAAAATTATATATATCTCAAGTTCTTAAACACAAGCATTTCAGCATTGCCACAGCCAGTGACTGTTATAGAGATGGCTACTAAGTGAATAATGGCTGGGTAAGTGTATGCTGTGTGCGTACGCTGGAAAAACTGGGATGATTTGAGACTGATGCAGACTACATCAAAATGCTATGCAGCCGGGCGTGATGGCGCACACCTGTAATCCCAGAGCTCGGGAAGCTGAGGCAGGAGGATCGCTGTGAGTTCAAGACCAGCCTGGGCTACAAAGTGAGTTCAAGGCTAACCTGAACTGCATAGTTAGACCTTGTCTCAAAAAGACAACAACAACAAAAAAATACTATGCAATTTTAAATTTATGGATTATTTGTGGAATTTTTCATTTTACTGTTTTCAGACTGCGGTTGACTGCAGGGAACGGAAACCTCAAAGTAAAACTAGATAAGAACGGGCTGCTGTGTCTAGATAATTAGCCACAAATGGTACCTTTTTTTTTTTTTTTTTGGTACCAGGAATTGAACTCACGACCTCACACTTGCCAGGCAAGTGCTTGCACCACTGAGCTATATCCCCAATGGTATTATTTTTGAGTAGCACTTGAAGAGCTTGTTGGTGAGTGTTTTGTTTTTGTTTTTTTTTTGTCTTTTTGAGACAGGGTCTGGCTATGCAGTTTAAGGCTGGCCTTGAGCTCACTTTGTAGCCCAGGCTGGCCTTGAACTCGCAAAGATCCTCCTGCCTCAGCCTCCTGAGTGCTGGGATTACAGGCGGACACCACCACGCCCGGTGGTGAGTCTTACTGTCTTCACTTTTGTTTTGTTTGGTGGTACTGGGAATTGAATGCAAGGACTTTGCACTGAGCTACATCCTCAGCCCTTTTATACAGTTTTTAAAATTTTGAGACAGGGCCTCAAGTCACTAAGCCAGGCTGGGCTCTAATTTACTGTCCTCCTGCTTCAGGCTCCCAGAAGGCTGCAGAGCACAGGTTGCACCACCATGCTTGGCTCATCTTCACCTTTTTTCTTGTTCTTTTTGTTGTTGTCGTTATTTTTTGAGACAGGGTCTTGCCATGTAGTTCAAACTGGCCTTGAATTTACTAGGTAAGCAGGCTGGCCTCGAATTTGAGGAGATCCTCCTGCCTCAGCCTCCTGAGTGCTGGGATTACAGGCATGTACCACATAGCTGGCTTTTTTCTTGGTGTTTGATATGGAGGTTCATTTGTGCTGGTGGCAAGAGCCCCCTGGGGTGGAATCTTGTCTGTAACCCTTATGAAATCTCAGGTGAGTCACTGAACCCTCTGTCTAGCTCTTCATTTAAAAAGTGAAAACAGTACATACTTTGCACATGGTTCTGAGGACTAGAAGTAATATATAGAAACGCTCTTGTGCACTGTAAATACTTGATAATGCTGGCTAACTCATTTCTTTTTTCTTTTTCTTTTCCCTTCCTTCTCAGTCTATACTTATACTCACTAATGACAAAGTCCAAGGTGTATGGTATATACCAATGTAATACCTTCCCAATGGCAGAGTTGGCTAAATTATTTTGATATTATTTATTAGGTGAAGAATAAGATCAATAAGGCAAGCCCCTTGAGTTAGAAGGGGCAAATCATTAGAGTGAAAAGAGGGGATACTGCTGGGCATGGTGGTACATACCTGTAATCCAGTTGGGTGGCTGAGGCAGGAGGATCACTTCAAGCTTGAGGCCAGCTTGGATTATACAGTGAGCTCAAGGATAGCCTGAAGTACAGTATATAACAAGATCCTGTCTCAAAAAAATCAAAACAGAACAACAATCAAAAAGAAGGAATAAAAAAAAAAAAAAAAGAAAAGAAAAGAAGGAATGCAATTCCAGCCCTCAGAGAGGCTGAGGCAGGTGGAGATGTAGCTCAGTGTGAAGGCCCTGGGTTCAATCCCCAGTGTGGGGGAGGAAATAGAAGGGCAAAAGGCAAAATAAATTAATAAACTTAGAGAAACATGTCAATGAGAGAGAGGGAGGGATATGTATAAGGAAGTGATGATCAGTGAGGTGAAGACAGCGGGGAGAGCTAGGCAGCAGCCTGCCAAAGTCTGGAAGCCGTAGATATGTAAACTCCTACACTCCTTGGAAAGCTGACACTTTCTAGAGTTCCTCTTCTCAATGTGGTATGTCTGTCGGCAGAAAGGATAACGCGCACAAGAGAATTGTTAGAAGTACGGATTTCGCTCATGTGGAATAATAGAATCCTGGTGGCCAGGGCTCGTTAGAAGACAGAGGACTGGACCTCTTCATTGTTAGTGAAGCATGTAGCCTGGCAGGGTGATGCACCCTTGGAATTCCAGCACTTGGGAAGCTGAGGCAGGAGGATCGCTGTGAGTTCAAAGCCAGCCTGGACTTCATAGAGAGACACTGTCTCAAAAGAAAAAAAAAAAAAAAGAAAGAGCAACCAAGAGTCCAAGCACAAGGATGTCATGGAGAGAGGAAATCAGAGAGATCCACTCAATCAGCCAATCAGATGAGGCTGAGAATTCATCCAAGGAGGAAGCAGGGAGAGCCAGCTAGGCACTGGGGGATGTGATTCCTTTGTATAAATGGAATCGCCTGAAGAGGTGGGATTCTCCTCCAAGCTGGGTGTGGCAGGCATTCCTCCACCTCCCTCTGCCTTCCCTTGGGGCCCCTGGGAGGTGGCTCCTGTGGGGCTCTTGCGGGGCCCCGGTTGCTTCGGGAGCTGGCATCTCTGTGAGTCTGTGACCCACACATCTCCCCCTGTGATCAGGCAGTGGTCTGAGTCCATTTGTGTGCTGCTGTAACTAAGTACTGAACCCTCGCGGTCCATACACTACAGAAAGTTCTTTCTCAAAATCCTGGAGGCTGCAAAGTCTGAGACCAGGGCACTCACAGGTTTGTCTTTTTTTTTTTTTTTCTCCGGTACCAGGAACCGAACTCACGACCTTGCGCTTGCCAGGCAGGCGCTTTTGCCGCTGAGCTAAATCCCCAGCCCTCACAGGTTTGTCTTATGAGGGCTGCCCTCTGCTTCCAAGATGGACTCTGAGCTGGGTGTGGTAGCGCATACCTGTAATTCCAGCACTTGGGAGGCTGAGGCAGGAGGATCACTGTGAGTTCAAGGTCATACATACATATCGGGGCTACATATACATACCGGGGCTACATATCGAGACCCTGCCTCAAAAATA